TTGTTATAAATGTATATAAACGATTTTTAATTAAATATTATGGAAGAAGTCTAATCATTTAACACTTTTAGACTTTTTAGATATGTTGGTCTTTCTTTAAAAGTTAGTTTTTGACAATCATATATTATGAATCTTATTTAAAAACTCCAGACAACCTGTATAAAAAAATTGATCATAAGCTTATATTCAAGCGAAAAAGCTCTAGCTTTGGCGTAATTTAAAAAAGCAACTTCTTGTTTCTTTGCTAATTCTATTTTTTATTTACAAGATTCGTTTTATATAATACCAAAAATTAAATAATAAAAAGTGTATTTTACGGTGTACATTTTTCTTGGCGCTGTGAATTTCGGGTACCGGTGAAAAGATAATTCTATAAACTTAAACCAGTTATTTTGTAGTTTATTAGAACACAATACTTCAAATATTTTTGGTGACTATTGTATTACTTGTAGATTTTCTTTAATTTATGGAAAATATAGGCAAGAGGTCGTAAAATTTGAAGAACATTGAGAGTCAGAATCAGAAGTCAGAATCAAGACACCAGCAAAAGAAAAAATGATTATGTTTTTATTTCAGCCATATGTTTCAGTATTCCGAATAGGAATCCTTAAAGAACGTAGTTGTTCAAATATTTCGTGGTTAAAATTTTAAATCAAAATTAAAAATTTGCGATAGATGAAAAATCTTTTAAATCTCTTTTACTTCACTATTTAAACCATCCTTTATCTCTCCTATTTATATGTATAATATGGTTGTTTTTGACTGGAGGAAGAAACAGTAAAAAGGCGTTCAGAAAGTATCAAACTAGTTTTGAAAATCCTTGTTAAAAACAAAATATCGAGTATCCCTTTAGTTCAGCGAAATAAACAAAAAAAGTACCGTATTTGTGACACTGACCCCGCCAGGCAAATGACAGTTATTTTTAGTAGTATAGACCTCTATATCAAGAACCTATATGTTTCCTGAAGTCGATTTTCTAGATTCAATTAGTTATTAACAAATTAAGGTCAAAAAACGGTAAATTTTTGCTTTTTTCGTCTATTGGCAAAAAGTGAAGCATTTGAAACAAATTTGAGGGTAATAAATTTATAAATTATAAAAAAAACCTTTACAATGGCGTTTTTTAGATGTTTCATCTTTATTCGTTATAGAGAAAATTGCAAAATAGATAATTACAAATTATCTTAGAATATTCGTACTCCATGAAATGTTGGGACTTAAAATATGATCAAACATTGCAAAACGTTCGGTCAAATAGTTTAAGTTACTTTATTTGTTTATTTTAAATTAAATTTTTTGCAACAATAGACTATACAATACATAGTAATTCTACAGGTAGCTTATGAAAAAAATTTTAAAATTTCAAAAACAAGTCGATTTTTTGTGTATAAAAAATTAAAATATCTTTTTAACCATTACCTGTACGAAATTTTTTATAATATTTGGAAAACTTGTATTTTTTCATAAATTTAAACAGAAAATTGTCGTAGGACAATATGGAAAGAAATTAGTCCTTTTTTTTATTAATTCACAGAAGCTTTGTTTATGATAATTGAGAGATCTAATTAGCATAATTTGAAAGAACATACTTTAAAGTTTTTTGTCCCAAATTCTAAAAATATTGCCTATCAACACAATCGTCAACAAATCTTTAAAATGTAGTGCTAAAATCGGCCTTAAAATTCGCTGGAGCGGTAGAGGGGGAAGGAGCTGTTAACTGTATCTCTGGTTCTTGTTTATGGATTTAAATTGTTTCGTTTTTAAATTGTATGATTAAAACTTTATAGAACATTATTTCATATTATGCTAATTAGATCTCTTAATTGCTATAAACAAAACTGAGTTAAAAAAAGTGACTAACATTGTTCCAAATTATCATACGAAAACTTGTTCTTTTGTTGTGTGTGTGTTTTGAGCATTATTGGTTTCGGAGTAAATGTCCATTTGCCATCTTACCTTTATGGAATTATTTTATTTATTCGGACCAGATTTTTATTTTTAGTAGATCAGAAGTTATCGTTGCAAGAGTTGCAATATTAGAGTTCTCCAGGGGATACTGGTATCACCAGCAAAAAGAAAAAGTTTTCCATTGATTTTTAAGTTAGTGATGTCATTTATAAAGAAAAGGAAAAGTAGAGGACCCAATACTAACGTTGTGGTACTTCACATACAATACTTTTGTAACTAGAGTCAATATCATTTGCTCTAGCTTGTTGTTTCCTATTCTCCAAGTAAGATTAGAACCAATTAAAAGAAATACCTCAAATTCCGTAAAAATTTAGTTTTTTACCAAAATGTCATGATTTACACAATCAAAAGCTTTGGCATAGTTACAGAAAACAGTGGCAGTGTAAAGATTATTGTTTAGTGCTTGGTAGACCTCATGTAGTACAGAAAACAACATCACTGTTACATTTATTAGATAAAAAGCCGAACTGGCTTTGTGATAAAATGTTGTTTTCAATGAGAAAGGAGATAAGTCGGGGTTTTATAAGTCTCATAAGTCTCAGGACCGGTACTAAGCAATATGTCATTAGTTGCAGACATTAGATTTTCACCACCCTTATGAAGAGGAATAATAACTGTTTTTAAACACTCTGGAATTATACCTTTTTCAAAGGAATCAATAATTAGTGAGACCAGGACTTTCAACACATTCTTGGGAGATTTAAGAAAACTTTTATAGAAATGTTTGTTTTTGATACTCTTGGTTGTATCAATTCAGATTTATCAACTGCACTTAAAAATAATAAATTCGAGACCTTTTTTGAATTGGAGAGATAGGAAATAGGATCTTGTTGTGGCAAAATAGTTGATGTTATATTTTTACTCACATTAACGAAGTATTCATTTATATTTTCAGGGTTTGGAAGAGTAAATGTTTGAGCTGTGTTAGTTTTATTTCTAAGATCGTTTATTATGGACCAAGTTTCTTTTGCATTTTTAGAGCTTCCCAGACGATTTTATAGTACATTTTTTTAGCAAGGATAATTGGGTAGCACAAGCAACAGAGTAATTACTATTCAAGTCGAAACATAGAATTTTTCTGCTTTTATTGGGCAGGTCGTCTAACAAATTTAGCAGGTTCTGAAAAAATAGTTCCGTAGAAGAATCAGGTGATCTTTAAATGCAAAGAATGTATAGATTTTAAGATTAAGATAAACCAATGAACAAATAATTTTCCTACAGACTATTGTTAAAAAAATTATTTACAAGAAAAAAGTCCACATATTTTTGGAAAATAATTTTGCAATATTTAAAATTTTTCTTCAATTTTTTTAATTATTGATAGAATAATACTTCTTCTTTCATAAACTACATGTAAAATTACAGTAGCTTAATTATTTTCTGACTTATATTGTTACAAAAAAGAGTAATTTGGGATAAACAAATAAAATAACTTTTAAAGTATTTGACCGATTGCTGATAGACGAAAATCGCGAAAATTTACCGTTATTTGACATTAATTTGGTAATAACTTAATTAAGTCCAAAAAATCCACTGCAGAAAACATATAGGTTATTTTTATAGGGGTCGGTACCTCCCAAACATAACTGTCGTTTGCCTGGCAGGGTCAGTGTTACGAGAAAAATCTTATTTTCCTGGACCAATTGAAAGCATAAAAAGTGCCACTAGGCCTATTTGATAATAGTTTGGTTGTTTATGCTGTTAATATAACTACTATCAGGCACAGCAGTCAAAATTCGGAATTTGAAAGATGTACTCAAGAAAAAAGATTCGAGAGTTAAGATTCTCTTTAAGACATTTTTAACGAAAAGTAACTTTTGAAAAAAATATATAATCATTAGCCTATTGTCAGGTTGAGTAGCAACTTTTACGTCCCTATAACAAAGTCTCTATATCTAAGTCTAAATAAAATTCTGTAAAAACCCTAAAATATCTCACTCGAGAAAATTCGTGCCACCGAAACTGCTGTTAGAAGTTTGCTACTAAATATGAAAATTTATATACCTAGCTCTTGATAATAACTGGTTTAAGACAAATCTTCAATTCAAGATGGTTTTGTGGATGGATATTTAATAAAAATTGTGAAAAATCAACAATTTTATAAACAATATTGATAAAAGAAACTTTATATGAACAGATTCAACGTGAATTAAAATTAAGTTACAATTAGTAAGTTATTTGTACTGGTCTTTATCGAATTTTTAGGTTTCTTGAATGTATCCTTCCAAATTTTATCGTTTGTCTCCTTCTGCTATATCGCTCCTTGTCGATCTTGAATATGATGTTGGCTATTTGCTATCATAACTTTACTGGCAACAAATCTGAATAATGATGTTCATATTAGAATTGTCCATGATAATATCGAGCTCTTAAGACTGTTTTAAATCGTAATAGAATTTTTCAATAGCTTCTTCGTCATAGGTTTGCTTGGGTGGCAAGACAACATGATCGTCTTAGTTACTTTGCCAGAGCCTGGCTAGCTCATTTCACTTATTCCAAGGATATTTATATCTAACTGCTTCATTTATGTAAAAGTAATGGTGTTAGGCTTTTTTTCTGTCCAATTTAAGAGAATATCGTTGCATTTATCAGCCACTACAATATGTTTTTCACTGCTACTTTAAAAAGCTGGACCATCGATTAAACCACTCTCTGAGATTGTGCTGCTTTCTTGTCATTCCTATATTAGTTCTCAATAAAAACACAACATGTTACGTCGTGCTGCGAATGAAGATATACTTTTAGAGAGACAAGATGATACTCCATAAAACGATTAAAGAAATTTATGTCAGTGGTGTCAGCTTTCTGTCATCTAAACTAGATGGCTCTACTAGCAATACCACTCTGGTATGCGATAAATTTGCTTAAGAATCTTATGCTTAATTATTAGAGAACCTGGTTAAAAAATATTAAAACAAACAACACATTTCGTTGCATGTTTATCTAAAACAACAATTTTAAGAAAAATACTCAATAGTGTCTTTTAGGTTGACCAAATATCCAACACACAAAACCCAATAATCGAGACTCACGTGATAGTTCGACATCTTGTTCGATCCTGGGAGCCGTGCTCCTCCTGGTGAAGACGTTCCTCAGCAGCCGGGCAGTCTCAGACAGTCTGTAACCATGTTTCGATACTCTAGCGCTATCTAAGCTCACGGACTATTAAGGAGCTCTCGACCACGCTTCTTGCGGTCGATAGGGGGTGGATACAGAGGGGATACAATAGGTTAAGATGAGTTAGACCAAGCGCATGCAATTCAAGCGATAGGTGGGTGAGGTGCGGGAAGAACTCAGCTAAAAGAGGTTAATCTTGGTATCAGAGACCAGAAAATACTTAGTCGTGTTTCTATAATTATTCACAATCTTCAGTATTTATCTACTATCATATATAATTAATATTATTCGTTAGATTGGTGCAGCATAGTATCAGCAATCTGTTTCCTATCTGTCAGATTAGTTATTTTCATTTTGTTGGATGACATCTCTAACCCGTAATTTGTTGTTAGTCATATACCATAAAATAGTTTTATATGTCTTTGGTTACTTCTTCCCTACCAATTTTGATCTTTTAACAGTATTCTTCTGTCATTTATCACTTGATTTATGTATGTTTGTATTATATAAATAGTCTAGGCGGGATCTGTTTTGGATTGGACATTTTCCATAGGAAGCTATTTTTTGCTGGAATCCCTTCAGGATACGTCCAATATCGATAATCACGATATGCGCCAGTCGCAAACACGGTGCTAAATTTTTTATTTAACAAAATCTGAAAACAATTGAAAATTTCTCATTTTTTTGCTCATATTTTCATTTATAATTCGGAAAATAGTGATCCTAGAGAAAAAATAATACAAAGTTTCGTTATTCAATCTTACACAATATTTTGTTAGCTAGAAATTGGAAATTTAATGGTTATTGTTGAAAAAATAGCAATAATTGGAAAAAAAGTACAAAAAAATGAAGTTAATCCTTTAAATGTTTTCGACTTTCTAAACTTGATTTACAAGTTCCATATTCCACCTAGAAAAACTTTTTAATATGTTTAAAATGTGTGCTAAATTTTGTTAAGATCGGTCGGATAGGTTTTGCATATTAATTTTGCAATCCAGCCTACTGGAAAAAAATCGCAAATTTTCAAATTCATAGTAGGCCCTCAGATAGTTGCAATTTTTTCTTACATATAAAGGAAGTCTCAAACTTTCAAACGCTTTTTGTAAAATTCAAATCGGTTCATTAAGAGAACCTAAAAATTGTTCTATAGTTATAAACAATTTTTAGGCTTATAAACAAATTAAATAACTTTACGAGCTTTAAACATATCAATTTCAAAATGTATACACTTAAAGAACATTAAAAGACGCTTCTTTTAAAAAACAAAAAGATACATTCGGCTTACTGGTTGCCGAGATATTGAAGGTCAAAGTTGGCATACATTTGCCATGTAACCATAAGTGATAGAGGGCTCGTTTTTAAACAAATACTCTCGTCTTGCCAAATACTTTTTATATGAAAAGTTTTACGTAACGCGCTTCATGGCAACATCCATAAAAAAGACAAATAAAAAACCGTTTTCGCGTAAAACGTCGCTCGGAATGCATGAGTGGTGGTGGTGAGGGACATTCACTTCAAATGTGAATCGGCGAGTATCAAGTAGGGGACCATCAGTTTGTTTAATTTCGGGTTTTGAAATAAAAACAAAAGTAAAGTGCTCCAAAATCTGTAAGGGCTTGTATTGAAGGTTTGTATGTTATACAAGTAATTGCATTTTTTCTTCATGTTTTTTTTGAGCTTGCAATTTATACATTGAAGTAAATTGTTACTTTTAGTAAACAAATATGTATTTATAAATTGTTAATAAATAATTTAAATTGTTAAAACAAAGGCGAATGAAAAAAAATTTCTTTTCATAAATAAACTTTATTTTGACTTAATCTTCAATAATTTTTTTAAGTCTTTTTCTTTTTTTGGATAGACAACAATCTTCAGGTCTTATTTCTTCCTCAAAACCTTCATTTTCCATTTCAATATCTTCATCCTCGATCTTTAAATTTAATGTTTTCTTCTTCATTTGTAGCTTTATCTTGTGCCTCCAAAAAATCTAAGGAATCCATTGACTCCATATCCATATCTCGTTCAACTTCTTCCAATATTTTACTGTGATCAATATTTTTACATGTTTGACCATTGCAGTGAAGACAATAGTCAGAACATTTGAGACCATGTTTGATACAACTGCATGTTGTTGTACAAAGTTTTTTACATTTACAACTAATATTTCTGAATAATGAGTCAGGTAGTAATACTTGCCCAGTTTGTATTGGCTCAAGACCATTTTGAGTTAGTTCCCACCCCCACTCAGTAGCATTCAGGTTATTTCCAAGCCACTGCTGTACTTGGAAATATACACGAAGCGAGTGTTGCTCAGCTGCAGATTGTGTAGGTGGCAGCATGGACAATTGAAAAGTTTTATTTTTGCAACCTTTTTTAAAGGACAAGTAGCGAATTTTATTCAATCTAAAATCACACTTTGAGTGGCCCATATACAATGCCGATATAATTTTGCATCCGCTGCTTTTAAATTCTTCCTTAGTGGCACTTTTTTCATTAAAAATGGTTGCTTCTTGCCATATATCATTATTTGTTGAAACCAATTTAACAATTTTGCTTTTTCCTTGATAAAAAAATGCAGAGGTTGTATCACAACCAGAAAATGCTTGTAAAAAGCCCACTAAATTTTTTAACGAAGATTTCGTAGATTCACTTATTTTAAGTGCATTATTGAAAGAGTTGTAGTCATAAATTTCTTCCGATTTTTTTCCTTTGCTAGGTTTCCAGAAAAAAATATTTTTATTTTCATTTTCTTAGTTTTTGAAATACAAAATATTTTACTGTTAAAACACACAGATTTGACAATATAACTACTATATAATAGCGTTGAACATATGATCAAACCACTGAAAAACGTGTACAGCACGCCTTCAATAAAAGCCCTTACAGATTTTGGAGCACTTTACTATTTGTTTTTATTTCAAAACCCGAAATTAAACAAACTGATGGTCCCCTACTTGATACTCGCCGATTCACATTTGAAGTGAATGTCCCTCACCACCACCTCTCATGCATTCCGAACGACATTTTACGCGAAAACGGTTTTTACTTGTCTTTTTTATGGATGTTGCCATGAAGCGCATTACGTAAAACTTTTCATATAAAAAGTATTTGGCAAGACAAGGGTATTTGTTTAAAAACGAGCCCTCTATCACTTATGGTTACATGGCAAATGTATGCCAACTTTGACCTTCAATATCTCGGCAACCAGTAAGCCGAATGTATCTTTTTGTTTTTTAAAAGAAGCGTCTTTTAATGTTCTTAAGTGTATATATTTTGAAATTGATATGTTTAAAGCTCGTAAAGTTATTTAATTTGTTTATAAGCCTAAAAATTGTTTATAACTTTAAAAAAAATTTAGGCTCTCCTAGTGAACCGATTTGAATTTTACAAAAAGCGTTTGAAAGTTTGAGACTTTCTTTATATGTAAAAAAAATTGCAACTATCTGAGGGCCTTATTTAGGGCCTACTATGCATTTGAAAATTTGCGATTTTTTTCCAGTAGGCTGGATTGCAAAATTATTATTCAAAACCTATCCGACCGATCTTAACAAAATTTAGCACACATTTTAAACATATTATTAAGTTTTTCTAGGCGGAATATGGAACTTGTAAGTCAAGTTTAGAAAGTCGAAAACATTTAAAGGATTAACTTCATTTTTTTGTACTTTTTTTTCCAATTATTGCTATTTTTTTAACAATAAACATTAAATTTTCAATTTCTGGCTAACGAAATATTGTGTAAAATTGAATAACGAAACTTTTAACTTGTTATAATTTTTCTCTAGGATCAATATTTTCCGAATTATAAATGAAAATAAGAGCAAAAAAATGAGAAATTTTCAATTGTTTTCAGATTTTGTTAAATAAAAAATTTAGCACAGGGTTTGCGACTGGCGCATATCGTGATTATCGATACTGGACGTATCCTGAAGGGATTCCAGCAAAAAAATAGCTTCCTATGGAAAATTTCCATTATGGTCTGAATTTCTACAGATGCCGCCTAGACTAAAAAGCACAATCGTTATTTGTCTGGTAGTTGTCTGTTGTTGTTAAAACACGTCTTAAAAATAAGTAACTTACGTAAGAAATTTATTTGGTGTATATGTCGCACATATTACTGGTTAAGTGCCATCTATACTATGTCAACTGCCATTTGTCTTATGCCAGAAGATAATTGGTATATTGGGTAAACAACATGAATTCTTTGCTTTTAACACAATGATTTTTTTATTCTGATCACCATCAATAAATTGCTTAACAAATTTTAAAGATTGCTTTAATGGTAGAGTAAATTATGTGGACAGAGAAATAACATACTTGTCTTTGTATATTTATAAACAAATTCTAGATTAACTGTACATATGAGTTTGCTTATGACTCGATTGAGTACTTTCTGGTCTCCGTTTCCACGCCTACGGGTGAGTAAATGTGACAAAAGGATATTAACCAAACATCATGCAACGAATCAATACTTACATATTGCAAATTGCTCCAACGCATGCAATGGTCTTGCAAAAAACAAATGGATTACTCAAAACAAAATATCTTAACAGTTATTGAAAGGCCTATGACATAGTCGATCTTACATTCAAACGGTAACGAAAAAAATAACAACAAAAATGGTCTACAAAAATTTATAAAACATTATTTCCTCGATATATTGACTAACAGTATATAAAGATACAACTTAAATGGTGTGAATATAGAAAAAATATTGTCCTTTAAACTTTTATTTAAAATAAAAAATCTTAGTTTTGGACTAAACCATCACCTATATATCCACTTGTTGTCTATTATGTAAATGAACTTTGAAAATAAGGCTATTATCGAGCACAAGTTAATTAAATCTAGCCCAAGTACTTTCGCTTAAAATAGCATCTTTAGGGGCATCTGAAATAAGCCAAGAAAACGTTTTTTAGATGAAGTAAATTAGTTAACTTCGATAAAAAACTCGAAGTTAATGGATGAAAAAAAGGTTTTTGAGATTAACGTTTTAGACTT